TGCAAATTTGATCAGGATGCCCTTGAGTCCATCATCCAAGTCGTTGATAAAGATGTTGAATAAGACTGGGCCCAAGACAGAACCCTGTGGCACCCCACTAGTCACTCTTCTCCAGGATGAAGAAGAACCATTGATGAGCACCCTTTGGGTTCGGTCAGTCAGCCAGTTACAAATCCACTGAGTGGTAGCATAGTCAAGACCGCATTTTACCAGCTTCTTTACAAGAATATCATGGGGCACCTTGTCAAATGCCTTGCTGAAATCAAGGTAGGCTACATCCACTGCGTTCCCTTCATCTACCAGGCTTGTAATTCTGTCAAAAACGAGATCAGGTTAGTCTGACATGACTTATTTTTCAGAAATCCATGCTGACTATTGGTGATCACAGCATTCCTTTCTAGGTGCTCACAGACTGTTTGCTTAATGATCTGCTCCAGAATCTTCCCTGGTATTGATGTCAGACTGACTGGGCGGTAATTATTTGGGTCCTCTCTTTTCCCCTTTTTGAAAATAGGGACAACATTTGCCCTCCTCCAGTCTGCCGGGACTTCGCCTGTTCTCCAGGAATTCTCAAAGATGACTGCCAGTGGTTCTGAGATCACATCTGCCAGTTCTTTTAATACTCTTGGATGCAGTTCATCTGGCCCTGGAGACTTGAATACATCTAAACTAGCCAAGTATTCTTGTACTATCTCCTTAGTTATTCTGGGCTGTGTTTCCTTTGCTGAATCATTTGCTTCAAATTCTTCAGGTCGGGCATTGTTTTCTTTATCGGAGAAGACTGAGGCAAAGAAGGCATTGAGGAGTTCAGCCCTTTCTGTGTCCCCTGTTTGCATTTCACCATCTTCTCCTCTGAGTGACCCCACTGTTTCTTTGTTCTTCCTTTTGCTACGAACATACCCATAAAAGCCTTTTTGTTGCTTTTAACCTCTCTAGCAAGCCTGAGTTCATTCTGTGCTTTAGCTTTTCTGACTTTGTGTCTACACGTGCTGGCTAATTGTTTGAATTCCTCTTTGGTGGTTTCCCCCCTTTTCCATTTTTTGTACACATCCTTTTTAAATCTTAACTCAGTTAAAAGTTCTTTAGATAGCCACCCTGGCTTCTTTAGGCACCTTCCATGTTTCCGTCTCATTGGTATTGCCTGACGTTGTGCTTTTACTATCTCCCTCTTAACAAACTCCCAGCCATCATGAACACCCTTTCCTTTTAGTATTACTGTCCATGGGATCTCACCCAGCACTTCCCTAAGTTTTATGAAGTCGGCTTTCTTAAAGTCAAGAAATTGAGTCCTAGTATGCTTGGCTGCTCCTTTCCGCTGTATAGTAAACTTCAGAAGAGCATGATCACTCGCACCTAATGATCCTTCCACTTCTACCCCACTAACCAGGTCATCAACATTGGTTAGAACCAGATCTAAAATGGCTGTTCCTCTTGTTGCTTCTCCCACTTTCTGGGCAATGAAGTTGTCTGCAAGGCCAGTGAGGAATCTGTTTGACCTTATGCTCTTGGCTGAGTTTGACATCCAACAAATATCCGGGTAATTGAAGTCCCCCATTACTACTATCTCCCTTCCTTTTGCATGCTTGGCCATCTGTTCCAGGAAGGCATCATCTATGTCCTCCGTTTGGCTTGGGGATCTATAGTAAACTCCCACAATGAGGTCACTGTTATTCTTCTCTCCCTTAATTTTGACCCAAATGCTCTCACTTTGGCTTTGAGGTTCTAAATCTTGGATCTCTTCACAGGTATACACATCCCTGACATATAACGCCACTCCTCCTCCTTTCTTGTCTGGTCTGTTTGTCTGAAATAGATTGTATCCCCCCATTATTACATTCCAGTCGTGGGACTTATCCCACCAGGTTTCAGTGATGCCTATTATGTCATATTTAGTTTGCTGTACCAAGAGCTCAAGCTCATCTTGTTTATTTCCCATGCTTAGCATTAGTACAGTACACATTGAAGTCCATTAATCATTCCCCGTGTCTCTTATTTAAGGATTTTTCCTCCCACCACTAGGTCTGCGTGCTGTTTGCTCCATTTGGTCTATGACATTTGGATGATCATCTTCATCAATTGATAGACTCCTATCTTCAGGAGCACTGTCTCCCTCCCCCACATTAGTCAGTTTAAAGCCCTCCTGATGAGGTTTCTGAGATTTTTGGCAAAAACATTTCTCCCAACCGTTGTGAGGTGCAGCTCATCGCTTGCCAGAAGTCCATCTTCAAGAAACTGCAGTCCGTGATCTAAGAATCCAAACCGTTCCTGTTTACACCATTTGCAAAGCCAGCTGTTCACTTCCACTATTTTTCCCTCTCTCCCTGGGCCACGTCGTTCAACTGGGAGGACAGATGAGATGACAATTTGTGCATTTAATTGCTTCAATTTCCTGCCCAGAGCCTCGTAGTCTCTTTTGATCTTCTGGAGGCTATTGCTTGCAGTGTCATTGGTTCCCACATGAACCAAGAGGAAGGGGTATTTGTCAGTGGGTTTTATGATTCCTTGCAGTCGTTCAGTTACATCTTGGATCTTAGCCCCGGGGAGACAGCACACTTCCCAAGACATCTTGCCAGGCCCACAGATCACTGCTTCTGTTCCCCTCAGTAGGGAATCCGCTATCACCACTACACGCCTCCTCTTAGGTTTGGTTGGGGTTCTTCCGTGAGCTGTCCGTTCCAAGGTCGCCTGCACATTCCCTGAGGACTGACTTTGCTGCTCGTCTTCATATACCTGATCGACTGTAATGAGGGAGAGATCCTCAAATGGAGTCTGCTCTTCGTCTTCCATGCTAGGGGAGACGACCTCAAAGTGATTGTGTATTTCTAAACAATCAGAGCGAACCCTGGGCCTCCTACTTCTTTGAGTCACATTTCTCCATATATCTGGCTCCTGTGTTGGTGAACTAGCCTTCTTCGCAGGGGAGTCCCCTGTCTCCTCCTTGGTGGAGACGGTGTGCTCTGTTGCTTCCAAGAAGAGCTCCAGCTCTCTAATTCTTTGGAGCGTAGCTACACGTTCCTCCAGTTGCTGGACTTTGTCTTTTAAGAGGGCAATCAACATGCAATTGCTGCAGGTAAAGCTGCCTGCAACCTTTGGCAAGATGGCAAACATTGCGCAGGAACCGCAATGTTAAAACCATTAGCCATCTGTTTTGGAGTGAATAGGGCAATAGGGCAAAGATGATCTGATAATTAAGGTGCCTGGTCAAGGCAAATGTAAGATATATGGCTACTTGTCTGCCATTTATGGATAGAAGGAAATATAGCTCTTTGTCTCCCATAAAAGGTAATAGGAAATGGGTGTATCTTTTATGATTGGTTCTAGCAAACAGCCAATAGGAATTTCAACCAGGCTGATTGGACAGAGGCAGCCAAAGGAGGAGCAAGGGGGCTGGGCTGAGGAAATATAAGTGCTGGCCATCAGGGCTGGAGTGGGCAGAGCTTTGGTATCCATATACCACTGTGTCTCTCATTTATTTGTCTGACAAATAAATTATTATTTTAATTTCTCTATTGCTGCGTTGAATATTTCATTCCAGCTAAGCGTTAACCACAAGCAGGGTGCTACAATACTTTAGGATAAAACTGCCCAGACATTGTGAGGTACAAATATGGCTCTTAGGACCTAGGGTGACGTAATTTCATAGTGAACAATAGCGTCTCTCAAAAATCTTGCCATTCTCCACAACGTCCTTCCTATAATTGTTCAGCAGATAAGACACCCTGAAGAGTCAGTGCAATGAATCCCCTCCTTCAACAGGGGGGGCAAATACTTATCATTTTTTTGTGTGTGCATAAAATAGGCAATAGAATAAAACATGCGTGAGGGATTCAACCTATTTTATGCCACAAGGGCAGCATTGTTCAGAGTCTGGGGTTTTTGAGAATCTCTAGGATTCTGTGCTTGATTGTCGGGAATGCTCCAGATTGCGGGAGCATAAGCAGCGACTCGAGTGAGAGGCCGCGGGTTCCAATTTTGCTGGAAGAGCAGAAACTAAGTGATGAATACAGTGCTGGCGTCTGGCATCCAAAGGCCCAACATCCCAGCAGGGAACAACAACAAGACCCAGGCCCCTTCTTTTCCCCCTCTGGGCTGCTGCTCCAAACAGCTACTCCGGCTGGCTTTAGGGTGGCCATATTTCAAACAGTGAAAATCCGGACAGAAAAGCTGCTGACCTCTGTTGTAAACAAAATCTGCCCTTTTCCCTTATGGGGTATCCAAGAGCCCATATAGAGTTCTTACATAGGTTCCATATTGGTAGGAGAAAATAACAGAGGCCAACCAGAGAATATTGAGAAGCAAAGCAGCTAGTAAGCCTGATCTTTATTGATCTGTTGCAACAGGGTCGTCACTCACCACAACGCAGGAGGGAGGAGGAACCCCTAACAATGGCGTGCAAGGCCTTAATTTTAAATTCCCTGCCCTGGAGCTCAAGACCACCCCCAGAAACATCATACCTACATCACAGAAAAGGCGGTGTAAAACAGAAATTTGAATGTTGTTTTTCCTGTTTGCCAGGTTATCTGATTGCCTTTCCTGACAGTCTGTCACTCATTAAAATGCTGATTACTCAATTCCTGAGACAATGGGAAGGCTCCCCGACCCCCCCCTCCTTGCAGGGAAAACATTTCATGTTGGTCTTTCTGTGTTGATCTATGTACGTGCTTGGTTGGTACACGTATGAACATCTAAGACCTCAAAATTCCTATCACACCTCACAACAAATGTAACTGATTTGTAAGAAAGACAACTTGAAAAAAGAGACTTTTGTAAACCAAGAAAATCTTTAATAAAAACATTTTTTTAGAAAAAGAAAAGCTGTTGAGCTTTTTCCTTTTCTTTCTCGGCAAAATCTCAAGGGGGAAAAATGCCGTTTTTGAGCTACTTATGGAAAATCGTGTCGGGTTGCCACGCGCCCGGATTTTCCCGGACGGCCGTATCCCGGAGATGACGTATGGCAACCCTGCTCCGAGCCGACGCTCGGTAAGAGATACCTTGCAGTTGACGCTCGGCGCTGCGCGGCGTACGCACACCCGGCGGTGCCCAGTAGGTGGCGCTCCCCTTTGACTACGCTTCCCCCACCCTCGAGCGGGAGAAGGATCTCGCCGCAACTTCCGCCACCGCCACTCGCCGCCCGAGCCCCTTCCTACGCGGGCCTTCTACCCCTTCACGCTCCTTCTCTATAGCCGGCCACGCCGCGCAGCCAATCGGAGCACTCCGGGGGCGGTCTCTCAGCCGCGCTCCTCTCAGCCCCGGCGTCACTTGGGCGCCTGCGGTGCGAAGGAAGCGGCAGGCGAAGCGGCGAGGAAGGAGACGCGACCAGGAGGCCGCCGACGTTCCCAGCAGCCCGGTCGCACCGCCGAGGGCTGTCGCCGCCATGGATTACGGGGAAGGTGAGGCGCTCCGGAGAGGCCGCGACGAGGCTGCCGCCTCCGCCGGGCTGGGCGCTGCGGACTCAAGATGGCGGCGGGGTCTGCGGCGGAGGCGGGAAACGGGCCTGGCTGGGCGCGCCATGTTGGTGGGGGAGGGGAGGGGAAAAGAGCCCCAGAGCCTCGCCCGGGTCTGTGCGAGGGGAGTCAATTTCGCCTGCTTTTTATTTTTTTGCTCTTCCCACCCCCCTTTTAAATTAATAAATAGTAATAGTAAATTAGTAATAATTTAATAAATAAATAGTAAGGCTCCACCAGTTAATTTCGCCTCCTTTTTATTTTTTTTGCTCTTCCCGCCCCCCTTTTAAATTAATAAATTTCATTTATTGAATGTTTTCAGACAAATGAAGACGTTCGCAGGGTTATCGGGGGGGGGAAGCTTGCATTTCCTAAAACATCTGATATAGTTGAGGGAAAGAATAAATGGAGTTAATTGGGATACGCAGGAGGGAAAAAAAGAAGATGGGAGAGAGGAGGGGATTCCTGGAACCGCTGAAAGGGGGGGGGCGGAACTCGAGGTTTGATAGGCGAGAATTGTTGAATTGTTTGCATTTCGTCGTCGTCGAGATGTTTGTTTGTTATAAATGAAAATCGTGAATACGCTTACACACACAAACACACACCCCCCAGTACGATATCCATCATTATCTCCTAGCCTGGCCCTTGCGAGGGCGCGCGGGTAGGTAGGGTGGGGCTCCTGCAACAGCCACAGCCGCACGTGGAGAAAGCTTTTTCCTAGGTTCACCCCACCCATCCCCCAACCCAGCGGCGAGACTCGGCTTTATTTCACCCGGGTCAAAGACCCAGTTTGGCACCCACCCACACCGTGGGCATTTGTGCACACAGGTTGCAAGCCTCACTGGTGCCCCTTTAGAGGCTGTGCCTGGGGAAAATAAAACCTGGCTAGCCCCCACCCCCCCGCTACGCCACTGCTCAATGTATTATTATTATATATTAAACTTCTATACCACCCTATACACACAGGTCTCAGGGCTGTTCATAGGATAAAATCGCAATATAAAAACCCAAGATACATAATCAAAATACAAACAAGAACAGCCCAATAACCCCCCAAATAATCAGTGACGGAAAATAGAATTTAAAACACACAATATTTGTAATAAAACATATAAAAGTAAGCACCCATCAGGTATTGTCAAAAGGTAGGTTGAAAGATCAATTAACTGTCTTTCGAATCAAAACATTTTAGCCAATGGGTTTCCCCCCAATTGTAATCCTTCATAGAAGCTCTCTGATCCAGTCCATGAAGGGGCACTGGGAAGCATTTTCTATTATTCCCCCTTCATTCTACAGCCGTTGCCCCCATCCCCAAATCTGATCCGAGAGTTGGGGAAACCTTTGGGACAGCATTTGGTGGGAGTATCTTTTTAGGCCGCATCCAAAACACTAAATTATCTGGGTAGTTCATAAGTTTGAATTTAGAAAATGAAGGATATTTCCATTGAAACTCTGTTATAGCTGTAATACTTCTTCCTTGGAATGAAGAGCTTTTAATAGTTGTTGCTTTTACGTTGACAACTTATTCTTAACAATGATTGGAAAGCCTACCAGATCTTTTGCCATAAGTTGCATTACTGCTATTCTTATATTTTCTGCAAGAGCGGGACAGGAAAAATGCAAGTAGACAATTCACAAAAGCAATTCACATGCCTTCTGCTTCTCAGATGTTACATCTGGGACCCAGTGTACTTTTACTGGGTTCGTATACCTAAGTGCAGTAGGTGGCAGTCCAAAGCAGAGAAGCACAATAATAAATCTGTAGTCTTATGTTTGTATTTTGTTCTGCTATGTTTGGGGTGCCAGCCCTTGATCTGTCAAATGCTGGTATCAGAGAGGTTGATTGATTGCAGTCAAGTAATTCTACAAAGCCAAGAATACTATTGTGTAGGAGAAATGGCATCTACAAGAGCTGGTGTCTCCGTAAAGAACACATGTTTTTCATTTAGAAGTGGATGACTGCTGGTGGAACCCTGAAGAATAGGAAAGTGACTGAACTAGGCCTTGACTTGGTTTTCCCCTTCCTGTAGGGCAGGTTTTTTAAAAATTGCGTCTTTTGCTTCTGCCAAAAGACAATGTGGGGCGTGTGCCAGCTCTTAAAAACTTCTTCAGGCTCCCCCTCCCCTTTACATGTTCTGGCCCAGAGGGGGCCTCATGCGTTGGGTGAGATCCAGCTATCTTACACTTTGAGAAGACATATTAAAATTGGTGGACTCTCCACGCTGCTCGCAATATATATGATTTCTATTACACGTGCAGAGGCACAGAACATAGCCCCTGCTTAAATTGGGAGTTGCCTATATAGTTAACTATGGCTAGCAGCTTTGAAACAAGCCAGGAACCCATGGTTTAAAGCAGGGGTCAGCAAATGTTTTCAGCAGGGGGGTGGTCCACTCTCCCTCAGACCTTGTGGGGGGCTGGACTATTTTGAAAAATAGATGCATTTTAAATAAAAGGACACATTCTACTCATGTAAAAACACGCTGATTGCCGGACCGTCTGCTGGCCAGATTTAGAAGGCGATTGGGCCTGATCCGTCCCTTGGGCCTTAGTTTGCCTACCCATGGTTTAAAGAGTATATTAGTTGCACTTTATTTAATTATTGTTAGGTTTATTTCCAACCTTTTTTCCAAGGTGGCTTACACTGTTATTGCTGATCCACTAGGAGAGGTCACGAGTCTCATTTTAATAAAATCAACTTCCTTCCTTTCTTAGAAATGGACCGTGACTATGGGCATGGTGCCTATGGTGGCCCAAGAGCCATGGACTCTTATATGAACCAGTCATATGGAATGGAAAGTCATGGAGGTGGTGGAGGAGGCGGTGGTGGTGCCAGGTAAAATACTGAATCACTTGCCTTACGTATTAAACGAAAGCATAAATATGTTTGACAATATATCCTTATTGAATTTAAGTGTTCCTTGAACATGCCATGTTGATTCTGTGTGCAAAAAAGCACAGGAAGGTACTGTGTGGTAGATTTTTTTAAAAAATATTGGGGTTGGATTCTTTTAATGATGTACAGTGCTGTAACAGATTTTAAGATGACTGCATGCATTTGATCTAGAGTCTCTGACATCACCGTTGAAGTAGCAGTATAGAACGTATAGTTGAAGTAGACAATTTTGATTACATTATTTGATTTGATTTTAGCCTTCAATTTTCAAGGAACATTTAAATTTCACTTATTTAGCGCTAATACATTTTGTTAAAATGTTCCCTTGTAGACAAATTGTCATGTCCAGATTATTTTATTGGCAGGTACTAATTACACTAAAATGTGTGTTTGGCTTATTCTACAAATTTTTTGTGCAGTGATCTTACCATTTTGTTCTTAGCGCTGTAATGGGATTCTGATAAGCTTTTGGATTTGCACGGTGCCTGCAGTTCATGTTTACTAACTTAAGGCCATCTTTTTTATGCAAAATTGGTTTTCTTTTAAGATCTGTGCATTTTAAACAAAATAACTGGATGAAACATTAAACTTTGTTGTATTCCCATTTTTATATTTTAATTATTGTATGAGAATGCAAGACTGCAGGTTGGCAACCCTGAATCCACAAGATCTTTTGTGACATTGAAAATCAGGAAACTGCACAGTTTTGTTGAAGAATTGGTTGATATCCAATACTTATGCATAGTTAACTGTCTCAAGAATAATGATTAAGATGTACCTACCGTTTAGTAATCTGCATATGATTGGAGTTCACTGATCAGAATTAATTTAAAATCACTGTTGTAATAGACACTTCTATCGATGGTATTTTAAATATGCAAGTTTGTGTGACTGAAGTTTTAAAAATGAAAATGGGTTATGCTGTTGTAAACGAGGATAGTATACATAGTCACCAGTGTCCAATTTTCAAAGTAAAGGCTTTTTCTGTTTCTACTGAATTAATTATATTTTTATGCTGGGAGAGACTCCCCTTTATAGTGCAGTTGTACCTGACAACTATGTCCCCCTGCACTCTGCCTATTCCTGTACCTCAGTAAATAAGTAAAATACTGTTCTATATTGTTTTTGATGTTTGGATGTAATGCATAGCCTTTCCTTCTATCAAGGATACATTGATACTGAAAACTTATACTTGCCTTTTCAGTTCTATACTAAAGTACCTTCTTTAGTCTCTAGAATATGCCAAATGTATTCTGGCAGTTGGACTGTATGTTGCAGAAATAAGAAAATTAAGTAATTGCACTGTGAACTTTGCAGGGATTAAAAGAAAAAAGTATCAAGTTGTAATTGCCTCTCATTATTGATACTATCACAACTTTCCCGATTGACAGGAAAGCCTTTTAAATGCTGTTAACTGTTAGGTATGACTTCAAAGATAAAATAATTTTATTAACCTTTAAGTCTGTGCAGGTGCCTGCATCTGTAAGACTAGGTCTGGGCACAAATAATGAGGTTTAAATACTGCTGATAGACTAAATTTAGTGAAGTTCAGGTATTCTGAACTTTTAATATTACTTTTATGGAAAAATGGCTCAGATAGCTTTCTGTCTGGTCAGATCTTGAAATTGCCCAGCCCTAATCAAGGCAAACCCTACCAAAGTAAAATATACATTGATTTGAGTTGATAAATGTCAACTGATGACTTGTCTTTTGAAATGTTTTAACTTTAGTAAGCTTACTTTTTTTTTCCTCACTGCAACTTTTCCAGGTTTGGACCTTATGAGTCTTATGACTCCGGGTCTTCTCTGGGTGGGCGAGATCTGTACAGATCTGGCTATGGTTATAATGAACCCGAACAAAGCCGCTTCGGAGGTAGTTATGGTGGTCGATTTGACAGCAACTACCGGAATAGCCTTGACTCTTTCGGAGGTAGAAACCAGGGCGGGTCTAGCTGGGAAGCACCTTACTCACGCTCAAAGTTGAGGCCTGGGTTTATGGAGGACAGAGGAAGAGAGAGTTACTCTTCCTACAGCAGTTTTTCTTCACCCCATATGAAGCCTGCACCTGTAGGCTCTCGGGGGAGAGGAACGCCTGCTTACCCTGACAGTGGATTTGGAAGCAGAAACTATGATGCTTTTGGAGGACCATCAACAGGCAGAGGCCGTGGCCGAGGAGTAAGTACAGAATCTTTTCAGATTCTTTTCACTAGTCACTCTTTTAAACCCTTTCAAGACCATAGCATTTAAAACAAACGGGCGCTGTCCAAACACAGTGCACTTTTGGCCAAACTGTTAGGGTTGATGACCTCCCAATCCCGTTTGGTATTTACCTAGAACTTAGCACCCAGTGTTTCTTCATTTGCAAGTAAAGCACTAAGAGATTAGTTGCTAAGGCTTTTATCAAATCTCTCCTTTTGTTTGAAAGGTGAAGATTAAGGCAATGGGTTTGGTCTAAAAGGGGTTAAAAGGAATTGCATTTTTCCTTGTTAACACTAGCATCTTGGCTAGTGGGAGAAGTCTTGAATCATTGTAAAGGTTAATTAGAACCTTTCTCCGTTCTGAGTAGCTTAAAGGTGCAATGTATGTATACTGTTGAATTTTAGGGGTTGAATGCCATACAGCTGATTTTGTCCTGATAGGCAGGCAATCAGTTCTACATACTCATTCTTAACTTAATGTAAGGTCACTAGACTTACGTGGAGTAATGGGTATAATAAAGATGTGTAATAAGAAATTAGGTGATTTGAAATCATAGTTAAAGGGGCGCCATCAACTTAACTAATTGTTTCAGAATGAAAACTAACGGTGCACTGAACAGTTTTGTCTAACACTTGCGTGATTTATATATAAAATTGCACACAACATGTTCTTGCATGCTGAATGTGATGTTCCAGTGCAGCTTCAAAATTGCAGTTGAAACATTGTGAACAGAGTAAAAAAACCCTCGACTATCAGCAGGAAAAACTTTTTAACAGCTGCTAGACTCCTGATGGAATACTTCAGGTTTATAAGATGATGATGTCCCATTAACTTACTTTATAATCTTATATTTCATTTTAGTACAAATAGTTAAGTTATAGAAGCTTATCTTGATCTCATATATGCTATCATAAATGTCATAAGCATAATATGTTTCAAGAAACTAGCTTTAAAAAAAACATAGGGTAGTTTATTTATAGCCTAAATGTAGAGATAAAGATCTTTAAAAAAAGAAAAGGTGGTCTGCATCCCTAAACTGTTCTTTCAAAAACGTTTTTACCCATGTGGCATTCTGAAGGGTACAATTGGCATAATAAGATTTAATGCAGAGAGACATAAAAGGAGCTAGGAGCTTTCTTGTAGTTTGGTAATAAAGTACTTTGCATATTTGTGTAGCCCTTGTTGTCAAGACTATCTTTTTTTTAAGTAGGTTTATGTTACTGAGTGAGTTAAAAGTCTCAGGGAGTATTGACAGTTCACTTTTTAAAACTTAAGTGTGCCTTTCTTGAACTTGAAATACTTTGAGGAATAAGCTACTTACTGTACTTAAAATGCATTGCACCTTTAATGGATCTGGAAATATTTCTTGTGCAAATGTAAATCGCCTAGAAAGTGTCCTTTGATTTATGTACATTCAGCGTGGAGATATTGCTAGATTGTTTTTTTGCTAGGGACCAATTTGTAGACAAAGTGAAATTTAGAACGTGTGCATGGACTTTGTTAGCGTATTATTATTTTAATGTTCTCTAACATATTCTGGTGTGCTAATGCTATTTGTTAGTCAAGTTAGGGAAACTTAAATTTCTGCTTATATGATTTCAGTTATCTGGTCAGATGAGCTTTCTTGATTTAATTAAATGTATCTGTAGGAAAGCTTGCCTGCCTTTTGGTTGGTTCCTTCTCTTCAGTTTGCTTCTATTTTCAGTGCCTTAAAATGTGTGGAACAAGCCAATTTAAGCATCCTTATGTAGATATCTGAGACAGGAAGAAAGGAAATAGTCTTTTCACACCAGTAGATGACAGTTTGATCCTTGTTTCAAAACATTTCATGATACAAGGCAGTCTTGTTTTTCTGCACTCACTGCCGCAAACCCCCTCTTCTTGATATAGGATAGAAATACGTTTTTGGCTTTGTCTTTTGTTAAATGTATCATCTGGAGAATCTGAAGAGAGGGAATATAACTGAAATTAGAATATAACTCAAGATCTGGATTTATGACTTCTCATAAGCAGAAATTCATTTGATATAAACACTTTGTGGTCAATTAACTGAAAAATGAATAAGCTTGCAGTTCTGATGTATGTTAACTTGCTAGCATTGCGTTCTTTTCCCGGAGTTAAAATATTTGTAAATATGTATTTGTAGGAATTATGTTTCTTGCCACCAGCCATATCATTTTCTAATACTTGCTCTTCACCTGTTTACAGTACATGGGAGACTTTGGAGGCATGCATAGACCTGGAATTGTGGTAGACTATCATAACAAACCCAGTAATGCAGCAGTAGCTGCACGAGGAATAAAGAGAAAAATGATACAGCAGCCGTATAATAAACCAGGTGGGACATTTATCAAGAAACCCAAACTGACAAAACCTAATGTGAAGATGAACCAAAACAAACCTAGTAAGTAATTGAATGAAAGATACAAATAATAGCACTATTTAACTTTTTCTGGGAGGAGACATTTATGATGATTTGCCATTCTTCATTTTTCAGCCTCAAGGCCCCTTTTGAAACTAGCACAGATTAGAAAATTTAATCTGCTACTTAAAATGAAGTCACTTTATCAGATTTGTGCCTATATACTATTCTCCTGTGTGAAATGTTATCTTGGAAAATTAGTCCTTTAATACGTGTACGCCTATATTTTGGAACCTCTTCTGGCTTCTTTTATTGTGAAGACTGCTTGCTAGATGCTGTAGGATTATTACCAAGAGAACAATTGCTGCTTAGATGAATTTCAGACCTTAATGTTTGAATGCTTATGGAAATGCAATATTCAGATCAGATTTTTTTTTTGTTCCCTTCTGCAAAGATTGTTGACTTGCTATTTGAAACAACAGAAAGTTAACATTTTTTTTCTGCACTAACTTCACTAAGCCTGTTTGTATGGCTTGCTTTGTATGTGTATTTCACCTTAAATTTCCCCCTCATACTTTTTGGGCGCAGTGTGTGGTTGCTATTTGAATTGACTTGAATTTTGAGAGGACTCCAAATGGCACACATGCCACTTTGCAATATCTCTATTAGTGAAATACTCATAATTGCGATGAATGGAGTATACGTGGATAAGTTCTGTGGCAGAAACCTGAGAGGTTGATAGAATGTAACATATTGCATGGTATCTACGTGAATCCCTAGGTCAGGGGTCTGCAACCTTTAAGACAAAAAGAGCCACTTGGACCCGTTTCCGAAGAAAAAAAACCTGGGAGGCGCAAAACCATTGCGACATTTAAAACAAATATAACACTGCATATATTGTTTCTTACCTTAATGTCCGATCTGACAGTGGGCGGGAAGGTGACGTCGGGACGGTGCGTGACTAACTCACGCACCGCCCCCATGCGACGTCACAGCCAGTACAGCGCCTGCCACAGTGGGGAGTGTCGGGGCGCACAATGCGCCTCCTCCCCTCGCTAGTATCCGGCCCGGAGCCGCGGCAAAGGTGTAAAAGAGCCACATGCGGGTCCAGAGCCGCGGGTTGCAGACCCCTGCCCTAGGTGATGGAGACTGGGCCACTTGCCATCAGTGTTGATGGGCAGGTTTGCTCTTCCTGAATGGCTGCATGTGAGAAAGTAAAGCAGATTTTCCCAACCTGATGCCCTCAAGATGTATTGAACTACACCTGTCACCAGCTTTGGCCACTGGCCATGCTGCCTGGGGCTCATGGGATTTGAAGTCCAGTAATATCAGGAGGGCACCAGGTTGAGGAACGCTGGAGTAATGGGTTGTCAGAGGGAATGCTGGTTGGGATGGGGGCATAAGTACTACCAAATTTACTTTCAGAACCTTGAAACCAAAATAAATACTTGCGAATGTAAATGTGCCATCGAATCTAATGCACACCTTAATTTTCGCAACGTAATTTGGCCAAAAATGGTGAGCATTAGATTCAAGTAAATACAGTCACTTGCTGAATTCATCTAATATTGTGCATTTGGGTATTGCTCACTAACATCGCATCAGCTATAGCTTGTGTTGTTCACGGGTGGCCTGTGCAATAGGTACTAAAGATATTAAATATATATAATGAAAACTGGAAATTATATTTCCTCTTACAGTAGAAGCATACCGGACTAGATTGAGAGATTTCTCATAAGGGTCTCTGCCTTCATCCATCCACCTGTTTCTATTTTGTCTTTATTTTGAGGTAGATTATCCTGTTTCTTGAATGTAAAAATATGTCCTACTGGTACCCTTAAGCTATTTTTTTTTTTTAAACCAGCAAGAAATTGACAGTGGTCTCTGTTTGCTGGAAATATCTTCAAAACCTTGTTTCAGTTGTCATCATCTCATTTAAGCCAACTTGAGATTTAGGCTTAAGACCTGAGATTTAAAACTTGTTCTTTATATGAATAAGTAACTTTTTAAAAAAGTCTTCTACTGTTGCATATGGTCTTGTTTCCACAGTGTAATCAATGAGATGGTCTAAATTTTTGTTTACCGTTTCTTGTTAATTCCTCTCACTGGGGTTGGTGGTCTGTTGAAATGCCTCAGGTATGCTATTCTACCTTTGGAGTCTGAGAGTAAATGTAGAAAACACAACTGATTCTTTCATGCGCACAATATGATGACTGATTTTAAGTGTGATATAAACAACGGTGAATTGAATTTAAAAGGTGTGTAACCAATGAATGGAAAACCAATTACACAGTATGATGATGTAATCCTACATGTGCTAGTTCTGCTGCATTCTCTCAGTTTTGATATAATTTCAGTACCAGTACAAGAGCTTGATTAATTCAAATTATATGTAATTTCTTTGTGGTTTTTTATATAACCTGCAAGTGCATGCTATTTTCTTTAATGTATTATTTCAGTTTCTATAACCAAGCTTCCTATTTTCCCAGTTTCCCAAGGATTTAAACAAAATGTTAGGTGAGACAAAATATTACACTGCAGCTTGATTCTCTTTAAATTTCTTCCTCCTTTCATGCTAATAGAGCCATGGACACCAAGCAAGAAAGCTACTACAGAGGTAACGATCTCTAGCTTTGCAAAATATTGTGCTTTGCAACAAACGTTAGAGTGTGTCTTGATAGTTAACACAAACACCATATATGATCTAGAAGGCCACGGGGCACAGTGATGCCTGTCCCAATGAGATTTTTCAGTCTCTCTCTCTCTCTCTCTCTCTCTCTCTCTCTCCCTCTCTCTCCCTCTTCCCCTCTCTCCCCCACCCCCTGATAGTGCTGGACCAGAATAAGAACCTGCTATTAATACAAGAGTGAGGATCTCTGTGGTGCAATCCAGAGAGCAATCTAAACAGATTAGAATTCAGTGTCACACTAGTCCAGTTGCTCCATTCTGGGGGTTCTCCTGACCCTCTACAACCCGATTGGGGAAAAGGAAGGGAGAGCCCCATTGCAGAAGTGGAAGACGTTGCACTCGGCTTCCAGTAATGGGACTGGTTAGGTGAATCCTGCCCATTGAATTTTAAGGGTAGGCAACTGGTGGTTCTTTTATATGTGCCATTGTGGTTTTAGTCTTAATAAGACATAATCGAAAGGCAAGATAAAAGCCATGTACTTGTGACTCTTCACCTACTTTCAGATTTTGGTCATGAAACCTGCATTTCTGAAAAACACATTTAATACATTTATATCCTTCCTTTCCATCGTGGAACTCAATGCAATGCATGTGGGATTCCTAGACTCGGATGTTTTAGCTTCAGCATACTATTCAGTTGAACTTGTAGCTTATATTAAAAGACATTCAGTACTAAACTTGAGATACTTCAGTGCTTGTGGTAGCTTAGTGTAAATTTATATATGTGGAGTCTCAATAAACTTGCAGGTTTCAAAATACTGGTTATATAGCCAAATAGCGGATCTTCAATCCAGTGGTCACAATAACTAGGAGGAAAGATTTTCTTTTTTAACCAATTGTTTCATTTTCAGCTTCTGTTCATGGTTGCTTTGAATCTATAGCCTGTTTACACAGGATTGCTGACAGTTTTATTTATCTAGATAAGGTCTAGAAAAATCCTAGGTACCTGACTGTCATGGCACGTTGGAACACTGAATTACGTTTCTATCTGGTTTGAACCTAGTACTTAAAGCACTCTGTGTAAGAACTCTGAACTATTTCACAGCAATTTGTAGTTTTATTTGTTTCTCTTACAGTTGTGCCTTGTCAAATGAAATCCATGGCTTTTAGGTGGCTTGCAGTTTAAATGCAGTATCAGTAATAGAATGAACACAGCGAAAACATAAAAAATGGCTTGCATGAACATGGCACAACACAAAAACCAGAGATTCTCTCATAGCTTGGTAGAATACAAATGTTAAATGACATCCGCTAAAAGCTCAGTGTAACAGTTCTGGTGCTCTTTGTCACGTGTGCCACCACAGGAAAGTTCCCGCTTCCATTCTGAGTTCAGATGATGGACACCATGTGGGGAACCCCAGGAAATTTGCTGTATATGGGAATGGTCTCATAGGAGCGTACATCCTCCTGAGATTGATGGGGCAACTCATTATTAAAGTTGAAAGAGCAAAGGTTGAATAATGGAAACTTAATAGTAGGAAAGTGGAAATACATGTTGGTAAGATTAAAGGATAAGGAGACTTCCATTTCTGAGTTGGGCAGTTATTAGAAAAGCCAGAAAAATAGAAGCTTTTGTCCCGTCAGATCCTGAATGTTGAGCAAATGCTCTTGTAGCTGACATGCCTGGTTGATCAGAATATTTTATCACACCATGTGCAAAGTAGATGTTCCAAATCTGATAAAATAATTTTGATCAGTCAAGCATGTCAGCGACGAGGACATTTGCATCCTGCCCAATAGTCATGATCTGACGGGGCAAATTTCAATTTTACTTGTCTTTCTGATAGCTGCCCATTTTATGAATGGAAGTATCTTTAGCTCTAAGGGTGCAATTCTAATGACAATTACAGCTTTAAATGCATTATGCTATGTAATAGCACAACTCTTCAAAAGGTTTGACTGATGGATTGTTAATGCCAAATAAGTGGAATTTAAAATCAGTGTCAGTGGAATCCAATATTTTATCATATAGTGGAAGTTAACCTTCCTCTCCTCCACCCTTTGCCCCGCCCCCATCACTCAGAAAAAATCTTCTTTAGAGGGCAAGGAGAAGAGAAGAATGTGAAGTCCTGCTCCACTCGCCCACAGGCAGTGTTCAATGCAACCAAATTTACTCACTAAAAATGGTCTCGTAGCAACTTAACATACAGAAATACACAACCAGAATTTACTTTTTTAATTCATTCCTCTTAATTCAAGCTGATCACTTCAACTGATTGAATTGAATTGAAATGAATGTTTTCTTCCCGTTCTGGAATTAATGTGCCACGTTTTGTCCGCTCATCTGTTTACGCTGGAAACTTGTGCGTTTTGACCTTTCATTAGGGCAATGAAGCTGAAGCGGGTGGCGCAATTACAGATGAAGACTTTACACAAGATGCCTGTGATGGCATCTGTCAGGAATTTGAAGGTAAGCCTGCTTATTTTATCAGGTAACTCAAGGTACAGTGCCTCTACAGTTTCATCTGGTGACATTTTCAAGAAAAACTGTACTTAATGATGTGTTATTTCCTGCAGTTGTGTGTTTCATCTTCAAAACGGAGAACGTTTAGTTCCATGGCTCTTGACTGTGACAAACGTATCATTACTTGCTTGTGATAACGTTTTCTTTTCTACACCCAGATCATGTATACTCAACGCTTATTTGACTTTCTGTTTCATGTAGCATTAATGCCATCACTTAAAATTAGAACTGTAGTATTGATCATCCTTATCTTTGTAGTTAATATTTCATGGTATTGATTTTAAAGTAGACCAACTGCCAGCTGTTCTTCACCATAAATTGGTTGTGTTTATACATGCTGCTTATTAAAACAGGTAAACTATCTATTTCTAGGAGAAAGATGTTTCAGTTGCTAAACCATATCTTCAAACCCACAAGCAAGAAAATTCTACATTGAGGCTGAAATTCTGTCCTAAACTTCTTTTCCCCCTGATGTGCTTTGCTATTGTATATGGTCTGTGTGATAAATGAGGAATGCTGGGAACTTGCTACAAATTGTGTGGAGTTTCTTGTCTCAAAACCTTGGGGTGTATCTCATACTGTGTAATAGGCTTTCCATTGAAATACTGTTCACTGAAATACTGTTTGTGCTGCTATGATTACAAGGTGAAGCGGAATCATCTTCTTTTTTTTTACTCCAAAATCGAACCATCTTCAGGTTACCACTGAAGCTTGTTTTGAGATTCTAGTGTAGTGTTGTATCTGGATTCATATTGATGGCACCTTAGCAAATTCACAAGTTGTTCCGCTTAAATCTTCAAATAAAACATCATGCTGGAAAGTAGGAGTCTTGAGTTGGTTTCTGGACTTGAGCCTCCATTCCTCTGGACTTCAGTAAATCTAGAGATTTAGAAGGTGTCTGCTGATCTTGAGAGACAAGATGCAGACTTTCTCTCTACAGAACCCAATGTCAGATGGCTTATACAGCAGTTAAACAAGGACTCACTTGCGTTTCCTTTGAGGTAAGGTGCCACATTGCAAGTTCATCCCTATGGAGCGCTTTGGAGAGGCCTAGGGATTCTTTGGTGGAATGGATTTCTCTGTGTGTATGTGTAAAAATGCGAGTGGAGTGCTTGCTCTATGTACTGGGAGAATAGTACTTCATTGTTTGCTTATCACCTCCAAAAGTAATTGTAGGCTGTTCTGATTATTATTCCTACCTTGGGTGTGAATAGCAGTCAGAAATTGACATCATTGGTACCTGTTTTTAATAAGGCAGATGTTTCTTTCAAAGAGACATGCAAAGGAGAGAACAGCTGTTTGGCTGCTTGAAAATCATGTCCAGATTGACACCAAAAACCCCATTTTGCCCGTGAATTGAAAACCTGCCACCCGGAAATGCATGGAATCCATAACATCTTTGAAACGAAATTTTGAAGTTGCTTTTCTGAATATGCAATCTCAAGTTTGGAAGAATGAGGACTGTTCATACATTTTGATATTTGTGTTAAAACCCACCAGATTGTCAATCATTTGGGGGGAACGATTAGGAAACCTGTACTCGATGTTGTGTTGTAGTTTAGGGTTAAAGTGTTCCATTTTATTGGGATTTTGAAGATTGCATGCTTTTCCTTTTCAGATAAGTTTTCGCTGTTCAATAAGCTGTCTTCACAATAAAACCAGGAAGCATCTAGCTTAAAACAGCATAAATTTTATGCAGCATTAAGTTTGATATCTCATTGATTGTAGGCTCTACAACTGTTTACTGTTCTCTGCTGGTCCCTTACATAGTAGTGCCTTTAGTATCTAGGCACAATGAGGTTAGGTTGGCTTTATCTTTTGCTAATTCTCAAACCTACACTGAAATGCTTGGATATTCCCTTTAGCTTTAAATTAACTAAGCCCTGGTAGATGCCGTTGGCATAGGTGGCTTGACTTTATTCCTCCTTAATGACGCCCTAAGTGTAGTGGTTGAGATGGAGTGGTGTAGGGTAAGTTGGACTTCACATTTCCCTCTTGTTGGAGTCTAGAACGCAATTATTTATTTAGCTCTTTAATTGTTTTTAGGTGTCAAGCCGGAGGTGAAAAATGAAGAGGAAGAAAAACGTCGAATTGAGGCAAGAAGAGAGAAGCAAAGGCGTAGAAGGGAGAAGAACAGTGAAAAGTATGGTGATGGTTACAGGTTTGTGGTGGAAATGTCATGAATTTGTCCCCAGCCAAAATTCACAGGCGTGCAAAGTGGGAATGGCATCTTCTTTATGCTGTCTTTGCTCTGCCTGCTCCATGGTGTCTTATGCCTGAGCTCCCCAATGCCACATAGACAGTATGCTATATTTCCATGTATCTGGAAGGGCAGACGCGATGTATTTCATGATAAGCCGTTATTCCTGAACTATCAGGAATACCCAAAGAATTATTTATTGTAAGGACAGAATGCCTGCACACCATGTTGAGGGATCTCCTAGCGAATAATCATTTAATCCTCTTGTGAAGAGTGTTTGCTTAGTTTCAGTGGGAAGGTTCACAAGTTGTAATGGGTTTATTTGGTTTTGTTACCCGTTTATTGTTGTTATTGTTGTTATATCTGTACCCTCGCCCATCTGACTGCATTGCTGCAGCCACTCTGGGCAGCTTCCACATAATAAAACATTAAAAACTTAACAATACAGGGCTGGTATCATGGCTAAAAGTGAGCTGCAAGCCCAAAGGTTCTTGGTTCAAATTTTGCCGTGGTCATAAGCTCATTGCAAGTTTCCATGTTCAATATGGAGGTATAGTGCCTGAAATAAATGTGTTGTGGCACTTGGAACATTTGAAATGCTATATAAAAATAGTAATTGTTGTGATTTATTGTTGTGGTTAAATGTTTGACAAGTAAAACTTGCTAAGCACTGTCTGGCAGCGACATCAAATGATGTCCACCCACTTGCACAATGGGACTTCCTGTCCCTTTTCTCCCTCCACATGTCCCCAAACGCGTGGAGCAGATTTTGGGAGCGCATGGAGGGCTGAGGAGGGAGGAGAAGGCTGTTGTGGAACTGGGATGTCCATTTGCACTATGTTGGATTCATCCGGGGTCTTTGATTCTATATAAACTTTGAAATGCTGGACTCTGTGTGTTCTGTTAACAAGCAGAAAGTATAAAAGTAGCTGCTGTTTTGACTAATATCACCTGCTTAAACAGGAGCGATAACATATTTCTTTCTCTAGAGTACAGTAACTTTAGGACTGTTGAGTCACTCCTGTTAGAGTAATACTGCGGATTTTTATTATATTGTAGTACTGTGATTAAAATGTGTAACTAGGTGTGCCTTTTACTTTTCTGCCACCTCTGCCTGGGTAACCATGCGTCTGCAACAAAGAGCCTTGTTGCACAGAATCTTGTGGCAGAATCTTTTGTGGGCTAGAGTCTCATCAGAATGAGGATTCATTTGAATTTCTCTCTGGTCTATGAAAGCCTGTGCCACAACACATTTGTTCCAATCTTTAAGGTGCCACGAGATGAAATACTGGTCTTGCCGTTCAACCCAAGGCATGCTTATTCAGAAGATAACTGTATTTTTCACTCTATAAGACACACCTAGTTTTTAGAGGAGGAAAACAAGGGGGGGAAAATCTCTCCTCTGTGCAGCGCCTCTCCAGCGAAGTGGGAGGAGAAATGGAAGAGGCTCTGTTTCTCCTCCCGCTTCGCTGAAGGTGCGCTGCGCAGCTCTCCTTTTCTGCACAGTGCCATTCGCTCCATAAGACGTACAAACATTTCCCCTTACTTTTTAGGAGGAAAAAAGTGTCTCTTATGGAGCGAAAAATACAGTACTCTCACTTATTTCTATTTCAGTTGCCACCTTGTATGAATCACATGCTTACAGGGTCCAAAAGAAACTCCAAACTGACTTAGATTGTTGTGATGGAACCATCTCTGTGTTTTTAACCGTATATAACATTTGTCAATGAAATGAATTGAGTGTTGCAGTGGCAGGATTTTAACAAATTCTATATCTCTCTGTGCAACATGTCTCTATCTTCTGCCAGAATGGCATTCACCTGCTCATTCTGCAAGTTTCGAACATTTGAAGAAAAAGACATTGAAGCTCATCTGGAAAGTCCTGTTCACCAGGAAACGTTAGATCATATTCAGAAGCAAACCAAATTCGATAAGGTTGTGATGGAGTTTCTACACGTAAGTTGTCTAAATGGAGCTATAGATTGGCTTGTGAAATGCACGAATCACAGTGGCAATAACCTTAAATTGGGAAAATTGAAACAGTATTTCTAACACCATAAGTAAAGTGATACATTTTTCTAAACATAAATAACGTTAAAGAGTTCCTAACACTTATGTTACTTGTTTTTATACATGGAGTGTGTTGCGTGACAAAGCCCACCCCCCTGCTAGGACCAGTACTTTAAAATAACCTTTCACCTTTCAGATACCAATTTCTGCCTTCATTTATACACTCAGGATAAATGCTTCATCTTGCTGCATGGCAGGGATGGCACTGACCAAGAATAGCACAGTGACCAGTTTCGAAAGAGCTTGCTTAGGCATGAGTGCTAGCTCAGGGGAATTCTCAAGATCTCTTCTTTCACTAGTGAACCCCTTTGCCGGATTGCAAAATGCTTTTGAATCTGCTCAGTTACAAAAGCAGTTTGCAACACTGCTGTCTTTATGGGGTAGTGGTGAAAGCCTATACTGTTTTCAGAAGATCTCTCTCTTTCTCTCTAAAGCACCAACCCCCTTTGGGCTCATCAAACTAATTTCATAATACTTTGGATCCTGGCCAGTGAGTCTGGTAGCTTCAGTATGTGGGAGGTGAATTTAAAACAAATGAAGATAATGTTTGATTTCCTGAAAGTGATGTACACTCTCTCCCTCCCCCCCCCAAACCAAGGAATGTATGGTGAATAAATTCAAGAAGACCGCTATGCGTAAGCAGCAGACTACTAGCCAAATGGAAGCTGCCCAGATGACTGAAAAAGATGTTATGGAAGGCAAGTAGCCTATGAAAGCGTCTGCTGTGTGTCAGCATAGCAAATTTGTTATGTAGGCACAGTCTAGAACTGTACGTTAACAAGGCCAAATCATATTTCCTAAATTTGGTCACCAACTCAGAAGTTGGGGGTGCCGGTCTCTGTGATGGGGCCTGTTTTTAGACACCTGCCGAAAACTCTTATTCCAGCAAGGCTACCACAGTGTACAAGTTAGCTGTATTTGCATTAATTATTTATTCTACTGATCTTATTTCTGATTTATTGATAATTGATTTATATTTCATGTATATTTGTGTTTTAATAGTTTTGCAGATTTTCGCTGCATTTTATGGATAATTACATACACCGCTTAAAGAGTTTGTCATCAAGAGGCCCTATGAATCTTACTTAATAAATGCATTTTGAAAACGATATTGGACTCGATGGGACTTCCCATTTAACTAGCAAGGGCAAATGGTTCTGTAAACCTAAGTGATTGTTACTTAAAACAATCAATTTTGGGTTTTGGGAGGAGAAATGTGGTAAACGTTGAAGAATTTTGTGTCACTGCACCAGGCATTTGCAAAACTCCCATATTTGATGCCTACTTGTAAATCTCCTCTGTAGAATAACTTATCACATTTAAATGTGATAGTACCATTAATTGGCATAAATTTGGAAGAAATTCTGGTTCCTCCCTTTCGTCTCATGGTTTTGCAAAATCCTTTTTGTTTGATATGCACACACAGATCCCTTAACCCTTACTACATGGCTTTCTCTTAGCATAATCTGTTACCCTTAACATATTTGTTTCTTTGCCAGGTGTCACGGCTGATGACCACATGATGAAAGTAGAGACTGTTCTCTGCTCTGCATGCAGTGTTTATGTCCCTGCTCTACACAGTTCTGTTCAGCAGCACTTGAAATCTCCTGAGCATGCAAAGGGAAAAACGGTAAAATTTGACTGTAGAGTTTCCTTTTACCTTGTTGATTGACCACTAAAGCGATAAAGATGGTCTAGTGCTGGCATCCCCAACCTTCGGCCCTCCAGATGTTTTGGACTACAATTCCCGTCATCCCTGACCACTGGTCCTGTTAGGTAGGGACAATGGGAGTTGTAGACCAAAACATCTGGAGGGCCGCAGGTTGGGGGTGCCTGGTCTAGTGTGTGTCTTGGTCCGTTGCTTCATTGAGCCCATGCTCCCCCCCTTGTTTGCTTTGCCATGTCATTCAGTCGTTAGTATCAGCAACAGTTCATGATTACACCACACAGTAGTACAAAATTTAACAATCCTGTTTAAGACATACCAGCTCCCGTGTAAATTAGCAGAAGAAAGGGAGAGTACCTAATGAGATGCATACATTTGGTTCTTATATTAAATCTAAACACAGTTGGAAAAGATCTGGTTGAGTAGTGGTTAAGTTTACATACTAGCCCAGGGCTGTGGGTGCCACACAATCACAAACTATGGGATTGGCTTTCCTGGCCAACTGAAGAGTTCACTTGGAATTTGATGATTCTGCTTGGCCACACCCGCAATCTAATCAGTGACCCAGTGGCTTGCTTGCTAGGACTAAGCTGTAGATGGATACAGACTAAAGCTATGATCACCTTTAGCGCCAATTCTCCTCCTTTAATTTCATCTTTGATTAGATCGTTTCCCCCTAATTCTATGGTTCTCTGCACTTAGAATCATTTGAAAATGAGTAGAAAGCAAAACATAAGCTCAGTGCTCATTTGTGCAGACAGTTGGACGTACACAAATGAAGTACGACAGGCCATTCCAAAAGCAATAAAGAGAACTCCATCCTGCCACAAATGGTTAGTGTTTCAGTTAATAATGACACCTCTGTAGTTGCTCTTAAGATGGACAAAGCTCAATCATAGTTTTGCACTTACTTGGCTTTCCCCGTGTATAGGTTTAGTTTCCAAGTAGACTAGTGCTAAACTCCTGTGAAACTTTTTCAGCAGTACTGCAGGTAACCTGAAGCAACCATGCACACATAGGATCATAAAGCCTTCATGGCTTCTATGAACAGTAGGAGGAGAGGTTACTCTTGCACCCCAATATTATGTTGAAACACTGACAGGAAAATAAGCACTGATAATTTTCCTCTTTGGGGGGGGTAATAAGGAATTGTCTTGATATTTTTAGGAAAATAAGAATTTTTCCACATTATTGAAAGTCCATTGAAAACCAAAATTTAAAAATACAGGTTACTTCCCATTATAAAAACAAGTTTAAAAAATAATAATAGCCTTAATCCAGTTGGTGCCCTTGCAGTCACAGAAATGCATTTGAGAAGCATCCAATAATGGGGATGGGTTTCTTCCACCATTTTCCTTCCTTCCTTCCTCTCTCTCTCTCTTTCTCTCTCTCCCCCCCTCTCTCCCTCTCTCTCCCTCTCCCTCTCCCTCTCTCTCCCTCTGCCCCCTCAAACTGTCCCAGTATTCTCAACAAATCCATTCTAGAGAGTTGGAGGTTACTCCAGAACAGAGTGGAAAGCGGCATGGGGGCTGGGGAAGGGTATTGGACAAAAATGATCTTGCCTCCCACCATTCGAAATTAGCAAGGTGCCTGGCGCATTTTGCACCTAAAGATTCTCCATTTGCGAGCACCTCCAGAAGTCTGGGTGCTATTTTTTACACCAGGCTGACACTCAATGATTACTGAAATGTATGTGCTTTGAAGCCTCGAAGTATATGTTAAGGATAGACAATACGTTAAGGAGTTTAACGATAAAGAGTAGAGTGTTTTGAAAACTGAAGTATGGTACCAATATTTTTATTGTCAACACCAAATTAAATATATATTAACAATTTCTGCTAAAAATCTGATATTAACAATGTGACACTTATGTGAATTGCCTATTAGTTCATGCTTTTCAAAATATTAAAAAGTACTGCGCCCCCCCTCCAACGGCATTCTGTTTTGATGCCGACAACCTAGGTTCCAGAAGTCATTTGGCTCCTTGGTTTTTTATCCCAGTTTCTAATACTGTTGCCTCCTCTTCTGCTACCTTGTTAGTTTTCCATTTATAGCTTGCTCTTATCATTTCGTCTCCTGTGGTTGACTGGAAGATGGATAGAATTTTATGTTGTCACCATTCCCCCCCCCCCCCGGAGAAATCAGTGCTATTAATAGATAACCAATGAAGTAATTCATGTCCTATTTTGTATACCATTTAAATTTAGTGATTGAATAAGTGTTTGGATGTGGTCACTTGGCAAGCCATACATTATTTTGATGAGATTAAGGGTGTTGCTAGCGTTTTTAAAAAACACGGGAACTGCTACAACACTTTATGAAGCCAACTTTATTTCCAAGTGTTGACAATAGGCCTCAGATAGTACCGTATTTTTCGCCCCATAGGACGCACCGCCCCATAGGACGCACCTAGGTTTTTTTTGGGGGGGGAATAAAGGAAAAAAATGTATTTCCCCCCCAGGCGCGGGGGCTGGCGCAGGGGAAGCCTGAGCTTCCCCAGCCCCCAGAACAGGCTGCCGCCCCAAGCCTTGCGCGCCCGGCGGGATGCACCGCTGGGCGCACGAGGCTTGCAGCCATCTGCCCGAAGCAGGGGGCGGGCCCCAAGCCTCGCGCGCCCTCCCGGGACCTCCCGACATCTGTCCGATGCGCGGGGCGTGCTACACAGCGCGCCCCGTGTTTCAGGCTGCACGCTGCTGCCCGCAAGCCTTGTGCGCCCGGCGGGACCTCCCGCCGGGCACGCAAGGCTTGCGGATAGCTTCCTGAAGCCTGGAGCGGGAGTGGGGGCGGGGCGCACCGACGCCTCTCGCTCTCCAGGCTTCAATGAAAGCCTGCATTCGCCCCATAGGACGCACACACATTCCCCCTTCATTTTTGAAGGGGAAAAAGTGCGTCCTATAGGGCAAAAAATACGGTATGTCCTTGTATATCATAAAAATTAATGCAGACAAAACGGATTCATACTTAAATCAAAATCCTGTTCTGCAGTTGATCAAAATCAGTAGGGCTTGAAGATCATTGCAGATTCTCGTTTAATGATCCATAATAAATGTAAAACCACAGAGCGTCTGCTTCTATAATGTGCTAGATAGTCCTAAACTATATCCTTTTATGATTGTACTAAAGCCAGTTGTTTAGTTGGTACGTAGCACTCTTAACAGTAATTCAACTTTTTTCTGAATATTTTACTTTTACTTTTCTCTTCAATAACCAGTTCATATGTCTGGCTAATATTGCATTTCTTATAATGGGAATTGGTTGTCTCTGTGGAATAGGTTTCCAGTGCTTGTTTTTACAGTATAATCTTGTTTACAGACTTACAAAGAGCAAATTAAAAGAGAGAGTGTACTAACTGCTACCAGCATATTGAATAACCCAATTGTGAAGGCACGATATGAGCGCTATGTCAAGGTAAGCTTGCAGTATGACCTAACTTTTTAGCAGCAGACACTGCTGATAAAGAATGCTTAAGATTGGCTCCTGCATGATTTTCTCGATTTGATCATTTATAAGTGAAGTAATCCTATATTTTTAGTTGGGTACCCGCACTTCACATTGGTAGGTAAAACAGCTGCAATCAGAATTAAAAAAAAAAAAAGAATTATTGATCAGAAGGGCTTGTCTATTGATCAATTAAAATGACAAATATTTGTGTACTAAAATATTTCCAGTGCAAGAAACTTTATTTGTGTAATAATGCACACTATACCTTAGAAAAAGCACTCCTTTGTGAGGTAGAAAGGATTAACATAGTGCTTGTCGTTTGCAGTTTTTTACTTGTTAGGTAAAGGTAAAGGTACCCCTGCCCGTACGGGCCAGTCGTGTCCGACTCTAGGGTTGTGCGCCCATCTCACTTAAGAGGCCGGGGGCCAGCGCTGTCAGGAGACACTTCCGGGTCATGTGGCCAGCGTGACAAAGCTGCTCTGGCGAGCCAGCACCAGCGCAGCACACGGAAACGCCGTTTACCTTCCCGCTATAAAGCGGTACCTATTTATCTACTTGCACTTAGGGGTGCTTTCGAACTGCTAGGTGGGCAGGAGCTGGGACCGAAAGACGGGAGCTCACCCCACCGCGGAGATTCGAACCGCCGACCATGCGATCGGCAAGCCCTAGGCACTGAGGTTTTACCCACAGCGCCACCCGCGTCCCATTTTTACTTGTTACTACTTCTTAAAAATCTGTTTGATAAGAGGGTGTTTTTAGTGAATTGAAATATTTCTGATCAATTAAAAGTTGCAGCTCTTAAGTAGAAACATGAATTTCAGCTTGAGTAGTACTCAGTATTAACTGCCTTACATTACCTTAAGACATAATTTGGTCTAAATGGACGAAAACAGAATGTGCAGCTATCAAGCCATGAAAACCTCAGCAGCCTAATGTGGTTTGAGTTTGCGACTGTAGATTAATTGGTAGGAGCAGTTTGGCTTCCAAGTCCATTGTCCAGAGGGCCAGGGAGGGGCAGGCAAACCTCCCCTGTTGGAAGAAAAACTAATCAGTTCCTACTGTAAAGCCCTGTTGATTGGTTGTTGGAGGAAAACCAAAAGGCAGTCTTTCTTTGTCTAGTTTCTGGCCTCTTGTTGTTATTTGTAGGCATCTTTCAGGCCACGGCCGTCACAAAGCAGCTTGCATAAGTGGGAAATGAAATACATGGAAGGAAAACGGCCATAATGGAACATAAAATTTTAAAATGTACAGGTCACTTGGCTTAGAAGTTACTGAGTAGTACAACAGGAGACTAGTAATACTTAAAACGCTTGCATCTATTGCGACATTAAAAGATCTCTTTTAGGAAAAGAAGCTCTTTGAAATAAATAGGTAAACAGTAAAACTTTTAGGTTGGAAATGACATGCACATCTGTGGGTGGGGATTCCCTATATGTATTCCATTTAATCACTGGGCAGCTAGAAATGGCGTTGTAGAGGTGGACAGGGAAGGGGGAATGGCAACTGAAGGCAGATTATCCACCTTACTCATATCCCTGCCTGGCTTTCGCCAGCAGAGCTGAAGTAAGCTCGTGGCAGCAATTCCTCTGTCTGACCTCTGATTCCCCCAGCCTCAAATTATTTCCCTTCCACTGTTCCTAATAGTAGGGAAATTCACTACATTAGTTTTCTCCCTGGTTTGTAGGTATGTCAGGTACTGGGAAGGCTGTGGATCCTTAAGATCCATGCTTGTCCCTGGCACACATGCAGTCTTATCAATAGCATGCCTGGTTTTCACCCTGACTGACATCAGAGTTGGTCAACAGCTGAATAAATTTATGTGGCATTGGAAGGAAGCATCCAACATTGGATCACCATGATGAGATCAAACAGAGGTCTCTATCCTCAGAGAGAGATCTAATGCTTCCTTTGTTCTCTGAGATGCCTTTCCAGAGATCATAAGATTTTGGTGTTAGTGTGTTACTTGTCTGGTTCCCTCCCCCTCCCCGATTGTGATTTTATTGAACTTTGCAGAATATGTGAGCCAAAAACGTAATACGGAATTAATCCTGCTTGTTCCTGCACGTACATTTTAAATGCAGACTATCGTTTTACTTAATTATATTTGCAGCAGTTTCGTAACACTCATTATTTAAAGATGCCTTCTAAGCATGCCATGGGAATTGTGTATCCAGTTTTATCCCGCTGTTTCCTTGCATCTTCCGCTGCGTTCTTCACCCAACATGCTTTGCCCAGTGTTGCTGATATTTATCAATCTTCTTGCTAGGGTGAAAATCCATTTGAAGTTACTGATCAAACTCCTGAGCAGCAAGCGGAAGAAGACAAGGCAGACGAACCTGTGGAGGAGGAGGAAGAGGAAGCAGAAGCCGAGGAAGAAGAGGAAGCCGAGACTGCAGAACAAACCGACTTCACTCTTGACCAAACGGAGGATGCTTAAATGCGTGAAATGTGCACAAGTAGAGGAAAATGCCGCTTTATTTTTATTGTTTCTGTGGCTAAGTGTAAAATTTATAGTAGTTAGAAATAAGGCTTTTTACCATCCTTACGCTATGCATGCATTCCATTTAAATTGAAAATGTGTTTGTTATTTTGTTTTTACCTTTGCTTAAAATGAAGGCAAAGCTGTTTTTAGTTTAGCTTTAATAGTAAGCCGGCGGCTGTTAGATTCGATTAAACATTGTATGGTGTATGTGTTCTTAATGTTGGTTTTCCTCTCTTGGTGTTGAGAATCGGAAATAAAGGAACTAGGCCGTTTAATCATTTCAGCACAAAGGTATTTCAAGTGAATGCTACAGCTACTTTGTTTTAGACTGCATAAACTTTAAGAATTATGTTGTGAGTGTGGCCGTCTTTTGGACTGCATCACTCATTGTAAAATACATGTTACAATATATCTTGTAGTCTTTTGTGATAAAGATGTATGTTTGTAGCAATAAAACATTTTAGAAATCTTAGTGTTTTGTTGTTTTAAGAATTGGGGTGGAGGAACAAGAATTGAAAACAGTTAAACATTAGTAGAATTAAAACTATATATTAAAAACGTACAGACAAGCACAACAAAGGCAGCAAAGCACCAGCCCACTTATTAAAAGCAGTCAGTTCACAAAAACCTGTTGAAACAAGGTGGTCTTCACCTGCTGGCAGAAGAACAACAAAGAGGGAGCCAGTCTTAACTTTTTATAGGGAGGGAGCAGACACTGAGAAGGCCCTGTTGATCTATGCTGTATGAATGCTGTTGGAAAGCAGCCTAGTGGCCGTGCTCCACCTGGAAAGCTTCTGCTAACATGTTGCTACCAAGGCCAAACAAAATTTTGTTTTCCTTTCCCTTGTTTGTCTTGTATATTTCTGAAAGGTGGCAGCCCCCATCCTTGAGACGTCCTTCAGACTATCTACAATGGACTACGCACTTGCCATATGAAAAACCACAGTGTTCCCTTGGTCAAAACCTAACAGTTTCCCCCAGACCCTTGAATTTTCCCACCTCCCTACTAAAGTGAAAGACCCCACAGGCCGAATTAGGCTCACTGCTTGGTGTATGGGCACTATTTTACCCTGAGCTAACGTGTTTGTCTCCACTAGTTTTAAAGGTGCATAGGTTGTTTGTTGGTCCTTACCACTGAGGTAGGAACTGTGGGCTCTCCAGAATATCTTTGGGTAATGATCATTTGTCCCAGCCAGCATTGTCTTCAGGGAAGCATCGTAGCTCAGAAGAAGAAGAAGACTACTTCAGTTCCGATTCCCAGCATCTCGTGGGACTGGAAGACAGTGCTGTCTGAAATTTTGGAGAGGCAGAGTAGACCAGGAATGGGGAACATTTGTCAGAGATGGTGGAGAGCCACACAATCCTCAACCCTAGTGAAGACAATGATGGACCCATGGCCCAACATAACTCAGCTTCCTACCACAGGACTTTGTGTCTGGCTATAGCTGGAAGCCACAAGTGTTCCTCTTCTTATCGTAATAATACTGTGGAATGGAGCTTATAAATATATCAGGCTAACTTCCATAGTTAACAGCAATTTGCCATACCCAAACTGGTTAAAAGCAGAAATTGGAAATGAGTTGCAATACCAACCCAAATGTCGATGCTGGGTTTCATTAAATTACCATTCCTTCATGACATTGCGATGCTGTGTGTCTTGATGCGGTGTGTTGCACCGGGAACTTTAGGAAGCCTTTGTGCGCTGGAGTTTTTGTCCTAGCTTCCATGAAGGGGTTAATATGTTTCCAACCCTGGGGGTTTTTTGATTGCCTGTATGTGCTGAGGTCATTGTCACTCTTAAATGACAGATGTCTTCCTGAAAATCCCTTGCATCTTCCCTTGTGATGTAAAGTTCAGCAACTGCAGTAACAGGGTGTTGTTCTCTAATAACTGTTAAATTTATTCTTTAGAGATTTTGCAAAAATGTCCTCTTGCTCCTACAGGGACTCCCTTGGCACTGAAGTCTGTGTTTTCTTTTTGCATAATGCCTGTAGATTTAGAGTCACCGTACTCCCAGTTGTACAGCTTCTGTAGCCCTGGTTCAGTGCTGCTGAAATGCTCGTAAATCTTTCTTCGAGCGGCTTTGTGCAGCAGCTGGGGTACGACAATAAGGTCCCTGATCTGTAATTCCAGACAGCCCCTGCGGGGTGTCGGGAATGACCAATCGCGAGCCTCCGTGTCAGTTTAAATGATGAAGCTCAGAGAAGGATGCAATCCCCAAGACGTAATTATCCAATGCTTCCTATTTGTATTCTCCAGCAAAGTCCTTTCCATACCGGACGGATGTTTGCTGGGAATGCTGTCACGATTGCAAAGCATAAATTCCTGTTTCAGAGACCAGGTTTCTAAATAAAGTGCGTTTAAAAGTTGGCCTGGGCAGCAGTTCGACTAAGAAGAATTGCACTTTAAAAAAGGGTTTGCTTAAGACTACTAAAATAACTGTATTTGAATAAGGTACCCAGCAGAAGAGCTGCACGATGGAATTTCTTCTTTGCCTGAACTTTTGATTTAATGCACTGTATGTTCATCGAGTGGGGTGCTCCTTGTGTGAAGGAAGTCTCACTGAGTTGAGTGTCAAAACTGATGCTGCCAACCTCACAACTTCTCAATCCAGCATCTGAAACAGCACACGCAGCCTCTATTGCTGGATACATGGATTCAGCCAGGCTGTGTACGCAAGCAATACTGTTCATAAGTGGCAGATTTTCCTAACAGAAACATAAATGCCCTATAACCATTTCATCACATTAGAGCTTTACTAAAACGGTGACAAAATAAGTGCATTGCCATTTCAGAAGCTATTCATTTCTCACAAAAAGAGAGAAAAGGTTACTTTTCTATTTTCTTTGAGTAGCCTTATATTTTTTCCCCAGGTGAAGTATCTGAAGCTTTATTCAAATTCTCTTGCACTTGCCTTTATATGAAAGTAGGCAGAATGTACTTGGGGAAGTACCAGTTCTTTGCCTCGGTAGAAAATTGGCTTCCAGAATCTAGGACTCTGCCTGTAGCCTGTGCAAGATGCTTTAATGGCCCCCAAGTTATTTCTTTCATCCTGCCGCCTCAAAGGTATCTTGTTGCTTTTCTCCCTCCGCGTGGGACTGTCTTTAGTATTCAAGTTAAGCAATTTGGGCAGCAAGTTTCCCATAATTGCCTCGGGGACCCCCTATTTGCTCCCCACTGAAGTGCTCTGAATATATACATTGTGCAAATGGAGCTGGCTATCTAATCTGTCTTCTGTGTATCTCTGCTGCAGCTTTAACCAAAGGTTTGTTCTCAAATGGGGATTGGTTCCAGATAGGAAGGTGGTACCTTCTGCTCACGTTACATCTCTTCATCATCATCTGGGGGTTTTTTTCCTTCTTGCAAGCAACCATTCCAATAGATCAGGCATGTCCAAAGTCTGTTTTGGGGGCCTAATCCGGTCCGCCGGTCGATTTTATCCGGCCCCCATGGCAGTATATGTCCTGGGGTAAAATCCTAAAAAGAACTCAACAACTTGGGCCGGCCCTCACACATGCTCATTTCATCAAATCTGGTCCGCTTTGAAAAAAGTTTGGGCACCCATGCTTTAGATATCCCAATTGTATAAGGAGTAGCTGTGAATGTTTTCTTAAAAAAAAAAAAAAAGAGAGAGAAAAATTGTTTTACTATTTTTATACAGTCGTACCTTGGAAGTTGAATGGAATCTGTTCCGGAAGTCCGTCTGACTTCCAAAACGTTTGGAAACCAAAGCGCGGCTTCTAATTGGTTGCAGGAAGCTCCTGCAGCCAATCGGAAGCCCCGTCGGACCTTCAGCTTCCAAAAATATTTCGCAAACCGGAACAGTCACTTCCGGGTTTGCGAGAGCCAAAACGTTCAACTGGCAAGGTGTTCGACTTCCAAGGTACGACTGTATCCTGCCCTTCCGCCAATCAGGAGCACAGGTCAGACAGGTTCATGGAGGAGAGGGCTGTTGATGGCTACTAACGATGCTTTTGAGTAACAGTTGCTGGAAACCACAGCAGGGCTCTTGTGCTTGAATCCTGCTTGAGAGTTTATCACCGGTATCTGGTTGGCCACCGTGAGAACAGGACATTGGACAAGATGGGCCATTGGCCTCATCCAGCAGGGGTCTTCTTATGTTCCTAACAACACAGACCAAACAAATATAAAGCTATAAAATCATAATAAATTCAACAGCAACAGATATCGAGTTCTGCTCAGCCAAAACCAGATCCAGTTAGTATCCGGGACACACTTCAGCCTTGGTTTTTTTAAAATAAATTTTATTAGTATTTTCCACACAACAACAACACAAAAAATATCGAAAAATAACAAAACACAAAAACCAACATACAAAAAAACAAATCCATATCTTACAAGTTAATAATATAAACACTAAAAAGAAAAACATTGACTTCCACCAATCCCACAGCACCTCCTTTACCTCTCATTGTGTCTTCCTGTTTTCCTTATCATCTCTATCCTAGCATCTAGATATAAATCCCTCTTTCTTATCCTTTCACTTCACAAGGTTATTCCAGACTCAGCCAGATTTCTGTCCTCGAACCTTGGCTTTTAAGGTATTCATTTAGGCACTCCCATTCCTTTTTCACTTCACTTTTTGGTTTTTGTCTTCTTATATCTGTCAATTTGGCTAATTCTAAATATTCTGAAAGCTTACATAACCACTCTCCCCTAGTGGGTAACCGATTCCCTTTCCAATACCTATCCACCGGGATTTTTGCTCTTCAGCCTTGGTTTCAATGTTTCTGCTGTGGGGACAAACAGGATGTCAACAAGGAGAGCCTTCTAGAAGTGAGGTGCTGCTCCAGAGAATGGTCTGTTGCAGGGCACCCCAGCCGAATGTGGCGCACAGGTTGACTGGTAATGGTAGACGTTCCTTTAAGTGCTCCTTTTGCAAGTGGAAGTCTGCTCTCTTCCTATCCACTTGGCTCTTCTTGCTGGCTGCGAGTGCAAACAACGTGCCAGCTAGGTTAATAATCATTTCCCAAGCATAACGAAAATTATTTTTATTTCTTGCCCGAGGGAGGTGCATAAAGAACAGTTGCCTGATTAAATAATTCTAGATTAGCGTTAATAGGATTTCAGTTTCAATAGAAGCGGCTCATTAGTTGTATCATGTGTCGCTCCAGGTTTTTCTATTTCTTGCAGTAAACAAATGTACTTTAATCCAATTTGCAGAACTTCTTTTTAGTTTGCTTTTTGAGGATCTGTGGCTATTAAGCATAGTTTAGGAAGAGCTTGGGATCTGGGTTGTTTTCTCCTGTAAGATTCAGGGCGCACGGTGCTATTTTTCTAGAAAAAGAGGTACCAGTCCAGAACTCACCATCAACATCTCCCTTGTTCTCTTAGAATGGCAATGGTGCCCACCTGATAGGTGCCAGGGAATTCCAGCTGAAAAAAAGTCCTGAGGACACACAAAAGTAAGACAGGCAAGCAGGCAGGCAGGCAAGGAAGGAAGCACCAAG